TACTCCTCCCAGTTTGGTATCATCAGCAAACTTGCTGAGGGAGCACTCTGTGCCTTCATCCAGGTCATTGATGAATAAATTGAACAGGACTGGACCAAGGACTGACCCTTGGGGGACCCCGCTAGCTACAGGCCTCCAACTAGACTCTGCACCGCTGATCACCACCCTCTGAGCTCTGCCGTCCAGAAAAAAGAAACGTAAATTACATTTTCTCCTAGGTAATTCTTAATGATCTCTCAAAAGACTGCATTAAATGAATGCAGCAACAAAATACGGAATTTTAGCCCATTTTCTTTGATTGTTTCTAAAATGGCTATTGTGAAACAATACAAATTTCTTTAGGAAACCTGGAAAGTGCATTTTCTATTTTTATAAATAAATACTCAACATAGTTTATTTCACTGAATTACCATGTGTTATATAATTGGCCTCATACCACATGCTTGGCTCCTAAGCCACGTCACTTACTCACTGGGCTTGTCTAGCCTGATAGTCACTAGAAGTTATGCACTAACTCATAAACAATTGTTCATTTAAAAATTTCCTTTATTTTTTCAGTATTTCCTTAACTGAACTCTTTGAGGATGAAGAGGACTGTGTTATGTAGGCATTTAGCAGTGGTGACAAAATGTCTTAGAAAAGATGTTACAAGTCTAGTGGTAAATATAAAAAAAATCCCAAATGATGAATTGCCTCATACTAGAACTGTTGTTTCTCATAGTATTTATGCATATAAATATACATATACATATATTTATGGTGTGCAAGGAAATATATTCTTTTCACAGAAATTTAAGGTGATTAAGTATCATAGGAAGTTGTAAAAGATGTTTAAAATCTTAAAGAAATGCAATTTTATTTCTTTCAGATGAATTTTCCTGCGTGAATTGAAGTGTAGTGACTTGACAGATTGTATGACCATTATTTAGCTGATGGCTTTGCTGGCCATGACAATGTATTTATACTTTGGACCAAAAACTAGTAAATCATTTTAAACGTCTAATTAATTTCAGCTATTTGAATATTTAAGATAGCTTGAATGAAATAATTCAAGCTTAACCTTGTTCATGGGAATACTTCACTTATGAATTAGGATGCTGGTGTCTTTATTTCTTTACTAAGTCCATCTTTGCATCAACCTTCCTCCAGTAGGCCTGGAGTAGCATTATGGCCTAACTATTTAGAGTATGAGCAAAGAAACACCTTTTATCGGATTGGCTCATGGGCATAGATTTTTCCAAGGAAAGACTAGCTGCCACTGGTATTAAGAGATCAAATAAATAGAAAGTTCCTTACAGCTTAACATTTGTTACTGCGTTCAAAATACTCAAAACATTTCCCAACTTCTTATCACTCTTTTCTGTACTTCATGTTGGTGCAGTAAAGTTAATGAAATGAAAACATACACAATTTAGTTTTTGGATCAAAAATTCATCCCATTCAAACATGTACTAGTCTGTTCACCATGTGTGTAGAATTTAGGACTAAATCCCTGACATAGTTGATGCACAGATTATGAAAATTAGAATTTAAGTAGAAAAGAATCTTAGACTTAAAGCTGTAGTCTTAATCAGTTGCTCTTTCTTCCTAATGGTGGCAGAATTTTAGACCCTCCCTGCGACACACACACAGTGTATCAGCTCCTGTGTACATTGAAACCTACGTTCTGGCAGAGGCTGTCCAAAGTTCAATAACTTCCCAGATAAAAGATTAGCTAACATTAGAGTAGTCTAACTGAACAGAAAAACATGGTTATTCTCTCAAGTTGACCAGAGACTAATGATTTAAGAACTTTACCTTTCTCCAAGAAAAAGTCTTGTCGAGACTTCTGATTTGCACCGAGTGCTTCATTTTAAAGAGTATGTTTAAAAAAGATACTGAGCATATCTGTAAATGCCTGCATAAAGAGATTTATTTTGAAGGTGAAAGTTTAGCTTAGATATAGGTGACTACTGACAGGTCCAAATTAGGTGTCTCAAATTAAAAATAACTTCTGCGGCAGTTTTTTTTTCTGTACCAGATGGTTTCTGCAAACTGCTTGATGATCAAAACTGCTTTGATCATCTTGAATGTTTTTGAAAGAATGGCTGTTTTCGCTCCCCATCTGAAACCCCTCTCTTTTCCTTTCTTTTTTAGGGAAATCTTAAAGGCAGCTATTGTAGCTGTGACACGGGAGAGGCATCCAGGATTGTTTTGGGTTCTGGTAGTAACTGCACTGAACTTGAGAGATCATCATTTGTCAAGTATGAGAATATTTTAAGACAAGAGGTTACCAGAAAACTAAAACTATAGTCAAGATGGAAATATAACAACTGAATATATATATGTGTGTGTGCATGTGTATATATGTATATATATGGGAGCTCTACGTTTAGGTACAAGGATTGCCCCTTGCCCCTGATGGGCCACCCTTCCGGTCTCCGGTCGGTAACAGCATTGTGGGCATCAGCAGGTCCCCAGGTGCTCAGCCCACAGTGGTGCTCAGCAGGTGAGAAGCTCCGTTACTGGGTCGCTTTGGAGGGAGTTATGTGGTGGCTGTGGTGGGCGCCTGCTGTGTCACTTCCCCCCGTGTCTGGACTTGTGCACGCCAGGCTGCAGCAACCCTGCAGGGTGGTGCCTTGGGCCCTGGTGAAGCTGAGGATAGTTAAATCTTGGGGGCAGCCCAGAGCAAACTCCTCATTTACAGGCTGCACCTTCCAACATTAAGTTGCCAACTTAAAGAAAACAGGCTTGTAAAAATAGTAGCTGAGGGTGGTGGTATTGTAATTAGGGACCCAGTTTTCTGGTAGCTCTGTGTCTCAAAGCTTTCCCTGTTCATTATTTCCCTAGGTGATGTTTGGGACTGACTTTTTCCCCCTCAGCAGTTTCTGGTAGCTTTCCGAGGCAGCAGGAGCAGCTGTTTCCTCAGAATTGAAAGCAAACCTGGCGGCCAGGGCGCATGGGGAACAGAAACCGAAAGCAGAAACCGAAAGCAGAAAGCGAAAGCGGGCGAGTTGGTGCTGGCTGCGGTGGCAGCGGGAGTGGCCTGGCAGCGGGAACATAAAGGAGTGGTGGCCGGAGGCCAGGCAGCAAAGCGGGCTGTGGAGGCAGGTAGGTCCTGCGGTGGGGTGGGAGTGTGGTTAGGGCTAGGTTTGGGGTGGGATTTTGGGTTGAGTTTAGAGTTGGGGCTTTTGGATGGTAGTGCCAACTAGATCGAGGTTGTGGTTGGGTTGCTGCTTGGACTGAGGTTGGTTCCTGTCCATCCCATGGCCCAGACACTTGCGGTGTTGGAATGTATTGCAAAAAAGCGTCATGGCAAAGCTTTTAGGTTATGTGTTTTTTTTTTTTTTTGGACAGGAAATATAATGGCTGATACATGAGGATGTGCAGGTATAGTTCTGCATTCCTAGCTGGTTTTCTGTGTTCAGGTATGTGAAGTAACACTCAGTTAGCTACTTGCTGACACGGGGATGACAGTTTCCTAGGCCAGTGACAATTTTAACATGCATTCATTCAAGAAAAGCATCTCAAGCCTTTGATAAAACATTTTCAATTTAAATAATAAAATTCAGAACAGTTTAAAGCTTTTTTATGCCTTGACATGAAATATGTATGCAAAATGCTAAATAAAGGTGAGCTTTATGTGGCTGTATGTATATAAATGGGTTACATTTAATGAAAACAGGCTTTGGAGTTCAACTCTAAAGTTACCATTAAAGTTCAGCTCTAAAGTTACCATAAGCACACCAGTATAATATAGCATTCTGTGTGTACAGTGTTTTACAAGTAGTTTATATGAGTGTATTTTGTTTCCTTTTCCTGCAACTTAATTTCTTAGGGATTTTAGCTAATGCAAGCTGAATATCCAAATGCGAATTTCAGCTTAGTTTTGGATTGAGTCAATGAAATCTGAAAAATGGAGGCCGTATTTTTGTTCTTTTTTCTTTCCATAAGAAAATATGTAAGACTAAAAATAAGTTCTAAGGAACTTGAAAAGACATAGAAAGACATTTTTTTTCAATTTGTAAAGAGTTTTGTATCAGTTGCTGTACAGTGTCATCTGAAGATGAAATGGTCTCGAGAAATGCAAAGAGAATAGTATTTAAGGCATATGGATATTGCAGTGGCAAATATTTCAGTGATAAATACTGCATGAACCTATTACTTGAGTGGAAGGTGGGGAAAACTGGGCTGTGAGTGTAGAAGAATTGAGTTGAAGTGGTGGGGAAATAGTAGGGTTATCCCAAGCTTTCTGTTGTTCTTTTGCTCAAGAAAAGCCAAATTGGTGCCAAACTGTGACCACTGAAAGCCCTGTGTGATAAAGATGTGGTCAGTCTGAGAGATGACTAAAAGGAACAGTGTTGATTCAAGTCTCTTGGCCCAGGAAATGGGGATGCCATGGAGCACAGCTTGTAGATATAGCCAAAATAACAAATCATGTCCAACTCATCTCCCTCCACCTCCCCCACCCCAATAAAGGTTCTTTGATGCAAAGTACCCAACAAGGATGTTGCTTTCCCTTGGCAAACTTTAACAAAGACAGAAGATGATGTGTTTCGTATACTTCGTAAAAGTAATTACTAATTTGAAAGTAAAAATGTCTCCAAAATGTCCATAAAATGGTTTCCAATTTTTCTTCATTTTATTCCAGTGTAGCTATGAAGTAGTTAATGGCTCGAGTGTAAAAGCTGTATTTCCCCAAAATTACCTTTTAACTACGTAGAGTTTTCTTTTTTAGGTAGTAGAAACGAGATCGATGATGGACTCTGCAGAAGCTGATCTTGGGAAGGTGGTTGCTGATGATGCCAGCAAGAGTTACAGTGGTGTTGAAAACTCTGAGTTTATGGCCAGTGCTAGAATAGGGTTAATGCAACAGTTTAAAAAGGAAGATGTAGGGAGTGGAAGTGCAAATGATTATGAGAATGATACCAGTGATAAAGAAATAGCCATTACACAGATGCTTAAAGAAATGGAAGTCGGAGAAAAAGAAGACACAGATGACACTAACTTTTATAGTACCTCAAACAGCGAAGAAGTGACACAGCAGGCGTCACAAACTGAATGCAGGGATTTCAGAGTTCTCCCGGATAGTCGTGATCGCCGAAGGGGTGAGGAGATACTATTAGCTTGTGCTGGTGTCTCTGGCTTCCTATAGTTTTATAGTATCTATTATAGTATTGTGTGCTTTGGCTTTTTGGTTCTACAAATAAAAATAATAAATTTAAAAGTTTCTGATTTATTCTAATTATTTTAGAGAGAATAAACCGGCATGGATTTCTGGATAGATTGAATGTACATATTTGGACATCTCTATCAAAAGCTGAGTAAGTGCATTGGGGTTCACTGAAAAAAATATAATTTAAAAAAGCTTTCTTTGAGCTAAAAAGACATTGCTCAGAGAAGCTGTGTGTTTGTAACCTAGATTTATTGAAAACCAGGCAACATAGCCACGTGAAGGAAACCTCTTAATATCACAGAATGTCTACTCAAAGTATAAGGATTATTTGCAGGTTTTGGGAGCTAATCTGCAATTGTATTTTTTCAGAGTTTCCAGTATGCTTTATAGCATTGTGAGCATATTTTGTCTCCTGTATTAAGGCTGCTAATGTTGCGGCATTTACTTTATTTTCCACAGTTTTCCCTTTCATATGTACCTGCTACATCTTCTGTACATGTTTTCTTCTACGTGATCTTCCACATCTCCAGCTTCTACTTCCTTTCCCTGCTTGATATGGAAAAGGATTAAAAATAGCGTAGTTCACACTGGCAGTGAAGTGTCTTCTCCATGTTCTAGAGCAGACATGCTAGAGATTAGTATTAATAAATAGAAGATAATTTAAATATGTAAGAGAGATTTGCATAGCTTCGGCTAACAGTCAGGAGTGCTCTCAAAATCTGTTTTGTGGTTGTCTCCTGTGGGATATTTGTTTTATAGAACAGAGAGCAGCACCTGGATAAGCAGACATGAGTGAGAGCTGCCACAGAAGTTGCAGAAGCCTCACATGCTACAAAAGTATCCAGAATTGTAGCGAAGACAATAGTAATATGTTCAGTAATTGAAAGGATTGCAAACTATTTATGACTGACTTTAGATCCAAGAAAAATGGCTTGCTATCCATTTTACTTAGGTATTTAATATGTAGTTGATTTAATTAAGCAAAATGTTTACTTTAAAATCTATTAGTAAGAAAACTCCTGTCCTATATCGATAACTTTTTGGGAGTAGTATTATATACACGCTATTTTCCCTTTTTTTCAGTTATGTCAGTCTATTAAAGGACTTCGCTGAGTCTGAGTTTTTTGTGATAGATGGAGATTCTTTGCTTCTTATGTGTTTATGCAAGGAAACAGAATATCTAACCTTCTTTTACCGAGTCGAATGCTTTCTGCAGGACTTCACTGAAAAAGGAGCAAAATATGTCATTGTTTTCTTCAAGGTACTGAACAAATAACATTTTGCTATTTAAACTACTACACTTCCTCAAAAGGGATTGTTTGATTGTAATCCACTTTAGGAAATGATCTGTTCACTGTATCCACAAATAAGGAGGAATTTGTGATGTTCATTATAATTTGCATCTTTTTTTTTTTTTTTCTGCACAAGTAACCATTAATGTTTAAGGAATACAAAGTCCACATTGTCCTGTATGAGATTTTAAGAATGCTTTCATTGAATCATGCATACTTTGAATTCTATAAACATATTTAAGCTTACTTAAAAATTAATAGCTTTGTTGGTCTTGTCATGGAAAAAATATTAAGAAGACTGGTAGTATTATGGAAGCAAAGTAGTAGATTGGAACATAATGTAGGGGGGCATGGAAATGGGTAGTAATCATACTTAATAAACTCAGTGCAACTTACTGCTGGGGATGGCCTACTATCACAACTATTCTGCAGTGCTTCCTCCTCTATATAACAGCTTTTAAAGCCTTTGTTTGCTGGTCATTCATCCCTTTCCTATACCTTAAATAGGAAAACAACTCAAAAGGCACAATGGCCTCTGTCTTTTGCAAACAAAAGGAGTAGAAAGCTTTTTCCTTGGGTCAGTCTATGTCATGGTTCAGCTGCAAAGCTCTGGAGCACATTTAATGCAGTGATTGTCAGGCAGTGATTGCAGGAGGGTGACCAAGTGGGCACAGAGGGCATGCATCAGCACATAACCGATCTGTGAAAGCGATTATTTCTTTTTGGGCTATTTTCAGCTTCACAAAATATGGATCAAAAGTAGTACAGTTGATCTGCTGCATCTCTTGGTTTGTTTTTTTTCAAACAGAAAGAAGCATTGTCATAAAATGAAAAATACTATAACAGGCAGTTACCAAATAGCCCAATTAGATTTTCGTTGGAAATGTTATTCTCTTATTAACTTTTGAGACCTGATTTTACAACTAGATTTTTTTTGACATAGTTTCATTTATTTATATACATACATATTTTACATATCATAGAATCATAGAATCATAGAATGCTTAGGGTTGGAAGGGACCTCTAGAGATCATCTAGTCCAACCCCCATATATATATATACAATATGGTATGTGAAATAAAATAGCAGTATGACATACAAATTATAAATAGAATTTGAATATATGCATGCACAGTACTTAAATTTGAATGTTGCTGATGGGAATGTAACTGAGTAATTACGTTGTTTTTGTTTTCAACAGGATGCGGAACAGATGTACTTTGCATATCCCCGTTTTCTTTTCCTGCGTGTTGCATTAATAGAACACCTGAAGCATAACACAGACATCAGTGTTCATGCAGAGTTTTCCAATTGTTTATCAGCAGAATGGGAGATTTTCCTGAAGAATAGCTATCCTTATTTCATCATCATATCTGACATAGGACTGACCTCTCTTCAAACAGAGTATTTATTCATCTTTATTGCTCATTCCTTGTCGAAGAAGATCAATGTCGTGCTCACTTCAGGACAGGAATATGATATTCTTAGAGTTTATGGATATCATCTTCAGAGTTTGGGGAACCACAGATTATTCTTTCAAAGGGTAAATTACACAACTTCTTTGTGGGTTTGCAATCACAGGGTTACATTTATAAAAACCTAACGTATTTGAGAGATCTTAATGTGATATTAGATTTTACATATTGAAATTATAAAGCACTGATACACGGCTCATTTTGTGTACCTTTCATGTAATGCTGTTGAAATCTTTAGCTGGTATGACTATTGACAAATGCCTGCCTCATTCTTCATAGTGTCATTTCAGCCTGTACCACTCAGCTCTATCTGGATTTTGGGGAGAGCTCTCCTGGCAGAGGATGGAAAGCATTGTGACAGACCCAGAGCATTGCCAGTTTGCTTAATGCTTAAGTGATCAGGCTGCACTGAGGATTTGAATATTCCGTTCAATAATGAGTGGTTCAATCCTCCCTAAATTTAACTGTGTAATGCCAGTGTCCAGCTGAAAACAGTGGGATCGCTCCATGTTAAGTAACAATAGCAGAATTAAACCATAGTGTCCTTAAATTTCACATGCTGTTTTAAGGTAGCTAAGGTATTTATCTAAGCTTATATTGTAAGTTCTTTATAGGGTCACTGACTTGAACTCTCAATGTTTTAATCTTTTGTATTTTCCATTAAAAGACAGCTTTTTATTCCTACTGAAAGTTATGTTAAATATACAGTATAAAATCCTCTAGTGTTTCATCTTTTATCTACTGAAGCACAAGTTCCTGTGTCCCTTTTAAAATTTTTTTGAGGTTCCCTTTTGACATCCCTGTTCATAATCACTTAAGATATGTCAAAAAGCTCACTAATCTCAAATGCAACCTTTCCTATAATTTTAGTAGCCCTGTGTTAGTTGTCATGTAATATACCAGGCAGGACTATATGTGATGTTTAATAGAATTTTATTTAGGAGTGTTTCCTGTAGACTGAGATTTGAAAATTAAAAAAAATCAAACACACACACACACAAGTACAGTTTATATATTTTATAATAATAAAATACATGTATAATTATATCTATATGTATCTTTTATATAATTATATCTATATGTATCTTATATATAAAAATGTAGATATATATTTGTTTCCTGTCTGTAGGACATCCAGAACTGTATGGCTAATATTCCAGGACACATTGTATCTGTTGATTTTTCTTGTGTAACTTTGTGACTTTGGTACTTCTTAGCAGGAAAAAAACATGCGACTTGCCTGTGAAGCTGTGGTCAGGGACACAGCAACATCCCTGCGTCTGTATGGACAGCTCGAGATGAACCTGCAAGGAATAAAAACAGAGGTATCTCTCTCTCTCCCTCTCTCCCTCTCTCCCTCTCTCTCTCTCTCTCTCTCCC